CGTTCAAACCATGACATTGCTCGGACACTTGGCAATTCGGTGTTTGCTCCACTGCTCTTGTCAGGTTGAAAACTCTGTGATGAGATGAACCCTTCAGTTGACTTGATAAGAGTGATTATAATGTTAAGTTGTCCCTCTAAGGCAATTGGTTAAATGCCCCGGCTTTATGGATTCAGCTAGCCAGATAATGACAAATTAAATCAAATTTATCTAAGAAATTTTCGGTAAAATGGACTAAGGGAGTTAAGGAACACCTTTTATAGTCAACTACACACGAGCACTCAAGAATTTCATTTTTAGACCGATATTTTTTGCACTGCCTTTGTTGGAAGAGCCTACAAAGCTTGAACAAATGAAAGATTTCAGAGGACTGAGATAAAAAGTCTAGTAATTGATCATGCTAGTTGCGTCATTTTGTCCGCACTCAATTAAAGTGCCAAAACATGTTGCGATATTTTAAAAAAAAAAATGACGTTTTTACCAAAAAAACCTTAGAAAGGAGGTCAACCTAAAGCCGACTCGTCCCTTTGAACATTTGTCAAAGATTTGTAACTCTGAAAGCATTAAAAGAGCTCTTCATTCCTTTGATATTTTTTGAACTCACATTTACAATTTGATTCAATTGCGAATAATACTTTACAACATTTTTATCATTTCTCCCTCCTGAAACGAGAAAAAGGAGAAAAACGTTTTCAAACAGAACAATCTCAGATATGAAATGTCTGTAAAGCCCAAGCTCGAGAAGCAAATGGGGCACGATCGATTACATGGAGGAGATTGGCAGGCAAAGCACGAGACTCCATCCAAGAAATAACACATAATTTATTCATGTTGCATGCATCTTAGACATACTTAGGTGCATTACATTCATCATTTTAGCATGCATAATTTTGCAGCTTTCAGAGTCAAGCTTCGACTTCAGGATGAAGGCTACTCGACTTGCAGGCACCTTTAAAGAACAATGGTGTAACTCAGCAGCAAGAAGCTACACCTCAATCGACTTTACATATATACAGATCTCAGAACCAATTTCAGATGGGTTCGAGAACCAATTCAGATCAAATTCAGTTCAGCTCAACTCAACAATGAGCAACATCTTTTCAGTTAACACTTTCAAGCCAGATTTCAATTCCACGACGGAAGATATCCGGCTGTCAGAATTTATCAGTAGGTTTTCCCAGACCAGCTTAGGGGAACCACCTGAAGAATCATGATTGTTTTCGACCCGTAAAGGGAAGCCATTTTTAAACAAACTATTTGCAGCTTAGCTCAAGGCCAGAAGGGCTATCTGTCCACCAAGACCTTCGAGTTCGACTACGTTCAGCTTCGAAGGCACATCATTTGCAGTATAACTTAAGTCAAGAAAGGTTATCTGCCAACTAAAGACCCTTAAGTTCGATTACACTCAGCTTCAAGGGCATATCATTTACAGCATAACTCAAGGCTAGAAGGGTTATCTGTAACCAAAGACCTTTGAGTTCGACTACGCTCAGCTCCAAGGCACATCATTTGCAGAATAGCTTAAGTCGAGAAGGGCTATCTGCCAAAGACCCTCGAGTTCGACTACGTTCAGCTTCGAAGGCACATCATTTGCAGTATAACTTAAGTCAAGAAAGGTTATCTGCCAACTAAAGACCCTTAAGTTCGATTACACTCAGCTTCAAGGGCATATCATTTACAGCATAACTCAAGGCTAGAAGGGTTATCTGTAACCAAAGACCTTTGAGTTCGACTACGCTCAGCTCCAAGGCACATCATTTGCAGAATAGCTTAAGTCGAGAAGGGCTATCTGCCAAAGACCCTCGAGTTCGACTACGTTCAGCTTCGAAGGCACATCATTTGCAGTATAACTTAAGTCAAGAAGGGTTATCTGCCAACTAAAGACCCTTAAGTTCGATTACACTCAGCTTCAAGGGCATAACATTTACAGCATAACTCAAGGCTAGAAGGGTTATCTGTGACCAAAAAACCTTTGAGTTCGACTACGCTCAGCTCCAAGGCACATCATTTGCAGCATAGCTTAAGTCGAGAAGGGCTATCTGCCAAAGACCCTTAAGTTCGATTACACTCAGCTTCAAGGGCATAACATTTACAGCATAACTCAAGGCTAGAAGGGTTATCTGTGACCAAAAGACCTTCGAGTTCGACTCCGCTCAGCTCCAAGGCACATCATTTGCAGCATAGCTTAAGTCGAGAAGGGCTATCTGCTAAAGACCTCCGAGGTCGATTATATTCAACTTAGAGGCAAATCAAGCTTACATAATAGCTCAATGCAAAAAGAGCTATCTGTCAATAAAACTGTCGAGTTCGATTCTAATCAGAATCACACTCCTGTCCGACTGTAATCGAGATTTTCAAGTCCAAAAGAAGACCTGGGTTAACTATGCCTCAGCAATAAAAAAATCGTTTTCCAGCAACATAGCTTAAGTCGAGAAAAGCTATTTGTCAACAAAGACTTTTCGAGTTCGATTTTATTCAGCTCGAGGGCTTGTCAAACCAGATGGTGAAGTCAAAGAAATATTTCCAGCCGAATTTTTAACCAAGGTCCTTAAACTGAGGAAAAGACCGAGGTTGACTACAATTGGGCAACAAGAAGTCGCATTCCGATTCAATTCCATATCATGTCAAGATTGACTTGACTTCACGACGGAGGGGTCATCCGCAGCTCAATCCGACAGGGGGTTTTTCTTCAACCCCACTGAACGAAAATTTGTGTCTTTTTATCTTTGTCCTATTTTTCGTTCCACGAAAAAGGACAAAGAGGGGCAGCTGTAGACACTAATTTCCGTCCATATTTTTTTATTTTATACATATATGCACATATATATTATACAGTTTGCAAATTGTTTTTGAAAATACATATATAATATATAGTTTAAAATATTTTTGAAAATATGTATATTATATAGTTTTTAAAATATTTTTGAAAATTATATAATATATAGTTTTTGAAAACGTTTTTAAAATATATATAATATATACTTTTGAAAACGTTATGAAAACATTTATATAATATATAATTTTTAAAAAACCATTTTGAAAATATATATAATATATAGTTTTTTTTTTTAAAAAAAAAACATTTTAAAAATTTATATATTATATGTTTTTGAAAACGTTTATATATATATATTATTATTATTTATTTTTAATTAATTTATTTTTCATTTATTTTTGTGCAGGGTCCATGTCCAATAACAGTCCAAGTCTAGTCCACCGAACGGGCCTGACCCAGCCCGGATTCCATGCTAGGGTTTCCAACGTATGTTCAAACAGGCGCCGCGTAAGCCAAGGAGGTCAAGGGTCAGTCACACCGGCCGCCGAGATTTCCGGCCGAGGAGATCGGGACTGACCCATCCCGAAATCCCCGGCCAACTAACCACGAGCACGTTACCGTTATCATCGGAGCAGACCCCCGGTGGGGTGGGTATAAATATCCCACCACGGCCATCAGGGGGGGGGACAGACACACATCAAAAAAGAACCGTAAACCCAGAAGCCTAGAAACGAAAAACCCATCGAGAGAACAAAACACGAAAACATCTCAGTACCACACCGAGAGACCAACGACCATAAAAATAGAAGCATCATCGAGCCACAACCGAACAAAAAGACCATCAACAACAGACAAAAATCATCACAAAAATACAAGCCAAAGGCCGAAGCCCCTCAGTAAACAAACCAAAACAAGCACGTAGAGAAACCACAAAGCCAAAGGCCTTGTGAAACGAAGGGACACCGGCGAGAGGGGTAAAAAACCGAAACTTGCACTTTAGATCTACGCCGTTTGGGGTCCCTTTAGGGGAAACGGGTTTCGGATCGGGGTTTAGAGTGACAAGGCGAGTGTCTCGGGCTAAATGTTTTTTTCGGCCACCGCCGGCGGTGGCCGGCATGGTGGCCGGTGCGACGGGGAGACCACCGGAGCTGTGGCCTGATATCTCTCATTTGAGAGAGTTTGAGAGACGAGAGAGAGCGCGGAGAGAGAAGGAAAAGTGACCAAATGAGAGGAATGAAGAAATAAAACCCTATTTTCGGCTTTAAATATGAAAATCAAAACGGCGTCGTTTTACGAAGGATTGATCTGCAAATAGAAGATTTTTAAATCCTCTCCGCAGTCCCTGGTATTTTGAGTCGCAGTTCAATTTGGTCACTACCTGTAAATTAGCCCCCATATTTCTGATTTAACCAATTTGGTCCCTATTTATATTTTTTATATTCTGTGAATTGGTCCCATAACTTTTTATTTGTTCTTTTGCAGTTCATTTTCTAATTCATTAAGTTCAATTTGTTCCAATTTGATCCTAAGTTTTATCTTTATTTTTCATTTTACTTTTTAAATATTTTTTTAATTTAACCTTTTATTATTATTTTATTATTTCTTTCTTTCATTATTATTATTATTATTTTTTATATTTTTTTTATTATTTAACATTTTGTTGTCGCTTTTTTATCTAACATATTTTGTTTCAGTCATGATTTCAGCCAATCAAATGGTAAGTAATTCGGATCGAATAATTTTAATTTTTCTAATTTTCGCAATTAAAGGCAACCGACAAATTAATTGGTACCGAAAGGACGGTTCAAGGGTGCTAATCCTTCCTTGACCGTAATCGACTCCCGAACCCGACACATTTCTGGTATAACGCAGATCAGGTAAGATGGTGTCCGGCCTACCTAAATTCGTTTTAAAGTGGTCGGTGGCGACTCCAATCCACAATTAATCCAAGTCGAAGCCCAATTCCGGGGCCCAACCGAAAGACGGTTGCGACACATGTGTTCAAATAGTACCAAAGAAAATGCATCACCTATTAGGTTGAATATGATTAGACCAGGCTTCCCCCTTGAATATTCTGGGTTTGCATGTTTCAAGCATTTTGGTGTTCAAGTTGACTAGCAAGTGGAACCTTACATGCAATTGTATGTTACTCCTGTTAGAAACTTGAGTATGTCATCAGTGATAAGCTTTGTTTACTAACCTCTTAATTCTGTGTAAAAATCAGCGATGAAGCTTCCCAAAATCTAGAGTGTGACTGGTTGGACAAACTCCACAAGGAACTGGAAAGTCAAGGAATTAGTTTACCAGAGAGGTTATTAAACATGAATTATAAACTTCTTCCATTACTAGATTTAATAGTTCGTCATCAGGTTGTTTACTTTCTCTGCTTTTATTCATTACTAATAATTGATGATGAACTTCAGTGTTGTTCATTTTTTAATTGCTTGGTTCTTTTCTTGCAGCAGACCATGACATTGTAGTGTTTATGCAGAATCAGAGACGAATATCTCCGTAGATTTTATACATCTGCAAAGGGTGACTTTGTAGTTTTCATATAATCAATTAAAAAGACAATCAGATGGAGGGAGACATATAGACTTCATTCTCAAGAAGAGCTTGAGACATGGGAGAACATGGTATTCTGGCACGGATATGATCTCATGCAACGACCTTGCCTCGTTGTACAGCTTGGGCTAGCCGCGTGTCATCTCATGACAGATCTCATTTTGCTCAGGCGGTCAGTGTGTTTTTAGCCCCTGGAATACTATTTATCTTTCCATTTTGCTACCTTTTGAAATTTAATGAGACTTCTATTGGTTTCACATCTTTAAATTCTCTCTTTAATATGAGTTGGTGAAAGCTTTTTCCATCTGAAATAGCCAGCTGGATTATCCATAGCATATGTCAATGAAACCTTGTTATCATCCTGGATTACATCCACTACGATATTTTTATGTACCGTTACAGTGCTTTCTTTTCCTCTTGGTTGGTCTGCCAAGCGACTTTTTCATGAACTCAAAATTCAACATTTTTAAAAGAATCTATTTTTCTGGACCGGCATTTTATCCATGGAATTCTATTTAAAATAATTGCCTTTCACTTGTTATAAGACAAAAAGAGAAAAATATGTCTTCCTAATCATCACTACAGGTTAGTAGCTTTTGTGTATGATATTATGGGTAAAGAGAAATGGTTGTTGATGCAGTATCTCAAGTGGAACATGGAGTTAGTCAGCCCAGAAAATCCTGAAGTTACAGTTTTAGTGGACTGTGAAGGATTATCTCCTTTCAGAATTCCCATGCAAATAATGAGATCATGTTCTTCCCTCTTGCAAGACCACTACCCCAACAGCTTTGGCTGTTTGTTTGTTTTACGGCTTCCACCGGTTGTTCATGTCATTTCTCAGAGGTTAACTCTCATTCTTTGACTAATATATGCTAAGAGTTCACTTCTTAATTTTTTGGGGCCAATTTGTGGATTTTCTCAGGTTTTGAAACCAGTTACTAGGAAAAAGTTAAAGATTGGAGGAGAAATGTACCACAAAGTTCTCCTTGAGAATCTTCAGACACTCCCATCATATCTTGGTGGAGATTGTAGGTGCACAAAATGTTTAAATATTTTCCATTACGTGAAGCGTCCTCACACAAACCAATTCAACACGATACATACAAGCGAAGATGTTAGTGACAGTGAGGATCTATGCACCCTTGATCTAATTTGTCAGGATGATATTGACCAGAGATGGGGCTGTGACCAGTTATTGAGAACTGCTATAATAGGCCTGCACATGTTGTGGGTTCTTATAAGCTTTCTTGGCAGGATTATATGATCCAGAAAACCCTTTCTTTCCATCTCAATGAAAGATATGTTTTTTATTAGAAACCACCCAGTTCTTTCCTTGTTCAAGGCCAAGTATTTTGACATTATTTGAGAGTGTCCATTGTCCCAATTGTGTTTAAATCCTTCTGTCCAGAAATTGATGCAGTATTTAGGAAAACTAGGTTTGTTGTATCGTCGAGCTAGGTCCACAGCTCTATTTTGTACAAGGTGATAAGTTATTGTCATATTCTCAATATCGATTCCCTCTACCGTGATATTATGGCCTTGTTTGCCTTAACATATCGATAATAGAATGGTAAATGTTTACTAATGAATTTGAATGATTATAGTCTATAAGAAAGGCCCTAAAGCTGGTGCACCAGGAAAAGGATCAGAGACGAAGCTTTTGCCTTTGTAATGATGCAGCTTATGTGCACCAGGAATAGCATGTTGATGGCTGTTCGATTTCACTCCCTGTCGATGTCATCGGTGCACAATGGAACTGCTTATCTTCAAGACTGTTCTCTAGTTATATGTATATATGGAGTATATACTAATCTCTTCTAGTCTGTGATTTTGTATCTCCTGGAATTAGCATTGGTTTTAAGAATTCCATTTGCACTTTTTAGCAAGAGAAGATTGGATTACAGTGAGTTTCAAGTGTTTGTATCGAAAATGTTCAATGGCTGGATAAACTCAGTATTATGAAGAATGTTGCAGATGCATTGGTATGGAACAAATTAAGTGTGCTCAAAGAGAATCTTTCTCCTACTTCAGTGTCAAATTCCTGTCTATTGTTCCGAAGTTGTCTTGCATTTGGCGAGGCTTGTTTATCAACATATGTTAAATACTCAATTCTGGTAGTGTAAAACTAGGTTGCATTTATAAAGTTTCACAAGCTCTTGTATCATAAGTCATAACAATGAAATTGTCGAAATTATGCAACTCCTCTGGTATTTCACATTGTTATATGACCCTGAAGAATACGAGAGGAAAGTGATTTAAGGAGATGAATTCTACTGCAAAGCAAAAAACTAGATTTACATGTAACAATATAAAATAAGACAGATTTCAAAAGGCTTGAGCAAATCTGTGCTGTTATAGAGAACATTGAAGAGCTTTATTCCAAAGGTTCCGAAAAAAGAGTAAACCATTGTGGCTGCTGGGATCCGAGCCCAGGTCTCCACGGCCACAACGTGGAATTCTTACCACTAAACTACAGCCACTTGTTGTTTAACCTCTAACCAAAAATAATTAATTCGTATAGTCATTTTATTCCTTCTTCACCTCCTCCCCACTGTTGCTTAAGCAATGCAAGGCACCAACCATTAATACCTAATTACATAACCTTAATTGAGTTATTTCCTTAATTTCACTCTCCTACCACCGTAATTACATTTTAATCCCAAACCTACCCTTTATTTAAAAGCCCGCGTTTGTTTAGCCACTTAAGATCTGTCATTTAATAATTGATAACTTTGATTTTTCTTATTTTTAATATTTGAGGTTTTAAAATTTAAACTTTGAATTCAGTTTGGTGTGATCTGCAGTTGTTGTTTTGTTATCAAGGAGCTATCATTGAAATCTCTCACTTTTCGTAAGTTTGAAGTCTCTCCGATCCTTTCTTTTTTAAAAGAAATTTATTTGGTGGAGGAAGTTTCGATTTTTAGAAAAAAAATTTGAAGCTATAAATAAGGCTATCTGATCCCAGGTTTTTGGTGCAAGTAAGAGATCAATCCCGCAAATTTTGAATCAGGTATTCTTATTCCGATCTCTATCTAAAAACCAATCCTTTCTTCTTTTCTTTGTTTAAAATCTCAATCAGCGCTGTTTTCTAGCAGGTTTTTGAGTTATAACGCGAGATCTGAGCAATGGCAGCAAATTCATCAAATGGGGAACAACAATCACCCTCAAAGCCATCACCTTTGCCATCTCCATTGCGCTTTTCTAAGTTTTTCCAGGTCTTTTTTTCTTTTTGTTTGTTTAATACTATAATGGTGGTATCAGTTGAGTTTATTTAACATGTTATGCAGTTTTCTCTGTCATTGTGCTAATTAATAGGGAGTGATTGTGATGTTTTCTGCATCTGAGTAGTTGCTTTCTTGTGTGAATTATGATATATTAAAAAGATTTGTTGAGCTTAGCCTTTGATTACGGCTTAAGAAAAAAGGTTGAATTTAAGCAATCTAAAGTGGGGCAGATAATGTTTACTACTATGGGCCCTCAGCTAATGAACTATATACCATATATGAAAAGTAGGTGATTGTACACTTAGCTTCATGGATCCCTCTTGATTTGCACTCTAAAGTATACCAATTAGATCCATTGTGTTAACTGTTAGCAAATTTTCATTTTATAATGAATCTGTCCACTGTTGGATAATCCCCTTCACATTCAAAGAAGATTGTCCGAGAAACATGTGGTAGGCCATGTTCCAAAACCGACATCTTTTCCCTTGATTTCTTGACATTTAATTTTCTATCTTTTCAAAATAAATGCCATGAGGTTGTTGAGAGTATTATAAAAATAAATAATTCTTCAAAAGCAATTCATTCAGATCTATAGAGAATCATTCTTAAGATAAGTTCAATAGTTCATGATGAATCCCAATATAGTTGTCCCTCCTGAACAGGTAGCTCTAGGATAATAGATCTTTCATTATGGTTAAATATTCAGTTTAGATTTGTGAATGGTGCGTGAGATCTTGTTTATTTGTGAATGGTGTGTGAGATCTTGTTTATCTTAGTACTTTCTTGACCTTTATGTCCTTGATTTAATTACATCTTATATAAAGCTTTGTTCATCAGTTTCATTACTTTTTATCTTCATCTACATTCCATTTATACCACTAATGCTATCCTTTTACCGTTTACTACAGTCCAACATGAGGATTTTGGTTACCGGAGGAGCTGGTTTTATTGGTTCTCACTTGGTGGACAAATTGATGGAAAATGAGAAAAATGAGGTTGGTAGATTTTTCTGATCTTATCCAAGCTCTGTTTCCTTCTCTAGAAATGATAAGCAGAATCGATACTCGCATTGGATCCATGCACTACGGTTATCATGTTCTGTACTGTTCTTTTTGTTTACCTTATCCTCAGGTGATTGTTGTTGATAACTTCTTCACTGGATCAAAGGACAATCTTAGAAAGTGGATTGGTCATCCTAGATTTGAGCTTATTCGTCACGGTAAGTTCATATTGTTTCAGGGTCTCTTGATCTAAAAGCATTTCTTTTTTGTTACCATATGGTATAATATTTTGGTGAATCATAATTGGTCAAACGGGTTAAATTTAGTGTAGCTGCTCCGTAGAAACCATGTTGGCTGTTGTTGTATCTTGTATTCCGCAGTCTCTCTGAATTGAAATGAATGGATTTTGGAGTAAATATCGTTCAGATGAGAGTATCACTATATTAGGGAAACAAATCTTGAGAATTTGACATTATAAATTCTGAATCATCAGTCATCATTCAATTTACTTCTACTGCAAAGTGCAAAGTATTGCAAAATAAAGTGGTTCAAAGAGAAATTGGCAGTGAATGCAAAAGTTCTGTATTTCATGAAAATATGTTATTGTATTTCTTCCAAAACCGTTCTGAGTTTAAAATACAAAATGATTGCATTTTGCTACATTGGTCAAAATGGATTTTTTTCCTTTTTTTTTACCTAGTAATTGAATATGCTTCACTTCTTTTCTTTGCAGATGTTACCGAGCCATTGTTGATTGAGGTTGATCAAATTTACCACCTTGCATGCCCGGCTTCTCCAATTTTCTACAAGTACAACCCTGTGAAGGTGGGTGTTGTTGTTTCTGATTGCTTTCTAAAATTTTTCTGACCAGGTCATTAATTTTTACTTTGTTTTACCATAGACAATAAAGACGAATGTCATTGGCACACTGAACATGTTGGGGCTTGCAAAGCGAGTGGGAGCAAGGTAAGGGATTGTAGTTCTCTGTCAATTTATTCATGTTCCCCTCTCCACTGGCTCTAATCTATTGGTATTTTGGGCAACAGGATATTGCTTACATCAACATCAGAGGTGTATGGAGATCCTCTTATCCACCCTCAACCTGAAACATATTGGGGCAATGTTAACCCAATTGGTAAGTCTATTGAGGAAACATATATGCATTTGTTGATCCTACTGACAGTACCGAATGAAATGTTTGTACTCCTGAAAGACAATACTTCCTTGCATTATAATGTTATATTTCTTTTCAAATCTTCAAAATTCTAATGAGGAATTGAACCTAGGAATTGCAATGAACATCAAAGACAGATTGGCGGAATGTATAATGTTATACAACATTATTCTGGTACTGAATGCTTCTTTTATATAGGGGTTCGGAGTTGCTATGATGAAGGGAAACGTGTAGCTGAAACCCTAATGTTTGATTACCATAGGCAGCATGGGATAGGTAAATTTTATTGGTTTTGCCTGAATAATAGTGTACTGTTATTTTTATTAATTCTTATCATTGTTCTTGTTTCCTTTTCCATAGAGATCCGCATTGCTAGAATCTTCAACACATATGGGCCACGCATGAACATTGATGATGGGCGTGTTGTCAGCAATTTCATTGCTCAAGCACTTCGGTAAATATTGTGTTATAGTGTGCCATATTATGGTTACTATATTACCTGCTCCTTTTTATTCTTAAGTTTGTTGTCAACTAGATTCCAATTCACTTATCAGTTACTGACTTAATCAAAGAACAACTAGTTTTGCCTAAATTTTGTTACCTTATAGTCATTTAGAAAACTTTCTTTCCTTCTAGATTTTCCCATGAGCTAGTTTGTCTCTTATTTCATTTCTCTTTTGCACTTTTTAGTGGTGAACCACTGACAGTTCAGAAACCCGGGACACAAACTCGTAGTTTTTGTTATGTCTCCGACATGGTATGCTACTTATTATGAATTTTTAATGTTTTTACTAGCTTTAGTTCCTTGTGACGGTATCCCTCTATTTTAATAAATTTAAGAATAACATTTGCATAAACTGCTAGGTTGATGGCCTTATTCGTCTCATGGAGGGGGAGAACACTGGTCCAATCAATATCGGGAACCCAGGTTATTGCACAACTTTTATGTTATAAACAATGTTTGTATAGGATTTAACGTTCCCAGGCTTATGGCCATTTTCATGCACTTACTCCTCTATATGCTTTTTGTTCTCTTTTAGGCGAATTTACCATGATCGAGCTTGCTGAGACGGTAAAGGAGGTGAGTTTCATAGTTTCATTTCAGATTATGTTTTGAATACTGAACTGCGAAAAAGAGAGGGTTCAAAGTTGTGAAAACATGGAGATTTAAAGGAATGGGGGATGCGAAGTACTACCTTTTTCGGGTCTTCTAGTGTTCTGAAAACTTTTGAAACTTAGGGTCTGTTTGTTTCCCGTAATTGGAATTACGGAATTGGTTTTCCCCGAATTCCCGTGTTTGTTTCAAGTAATTCGTTTTCCGGAAAATGTTTTCCCGTGTTTGTTTCACGTAATTCGTTTTTCGGAAAACGTTTTCCCGTGTTTGTTTCACGTAATTCGTTTTCCGGAATGTAATTCATTTTCCTAGTAATAGAATTTCCTTTGTGTTTTCTGTAAAATGACTTACGGATTCATTTTCCGTAAGTCATTTAAAGCAAAAATACTCAAAATAATTTTATTTTATGAATTTAATATTAATAAAATATTTTAATATCATTTTCATCAAAATATTAATTATTAAAATATTTTTATTAATATTTTTAATAATATAATATTATATTTTTAATATTATATAAAATAATCAATTATATTATAATAATACAAGATATTATATTTTTATTTTAATAATATATAATAATTTTTTTATATATTTAATAATGAGTAATATTATTTATATATTTCAATAATATTTTAGTAAAGATATTTAAAATATACTAATTAATATTTTTAAAATATAATATAGCACTATTACTTTAATAAATAATTAATATAATTTATAATATTTTATAATATTTTATTTCACTAAAATATACCAATATTAATATTTTTATTAATAAAATTATAAAAATAATATTTAATAATAAATAAATTGTTTTAATATTTTAAAATAATAATATTAAGTTTTATGATAAATAATATTATTTATTATATTTAATATTTGTAATAAATAATTTTTAAAAATGGAAAAAATGTTTAAATAACATCTTCCAAACATCATAAAACGTTTTCCAGATGTTTTCCATAAATGTAATTCATTTTCCAGAAATGTAATTCATTTTACAGAAATGTAATTCATTTTCCAGAATTCAAATTCCAGTAATTCATTTTCCAGTAATTCAAATTCCAGTAATTCATTTTCTGGAAAACCAATTACAGCTAAACAAACAGACCCTTATATGGTTTCTGTATCATGTTGCATTGTTGCACTTGCAGCTTATTAATCCGAAGGTGGAGATAAATATGGTGGAGAACACTCCAGACGATCCACGACAAAGAAAACCCGACATCACAAAAGCAAAAGAGTTGCTAGGTTGGGAGCCGAAAGTGAAGTTGCGTGACGGTCTTCCTCTAATGGAGGAGGATTTCCGATTGAGGCTCGGAGTCTCCAAAGAGAACAAACCATGAATGAATTATACAGCGGGTAGAATTTTTTGGATTGGCCGATTTCAGTGCTTGTGGTGGGAAAAGTGGGAGCTTATGTTATCAGTGAAGTCTAGTTGATGCCCTCGTCTGCTGTGTCTTGTTCTTTATGATTTCATAGAAAATAAACCATTATATCCCCACTGAATGTGAGAATTTGTGAAACTATTTGAATTTTGGTATGGCTTGTAGATGATGGAGTTGCCATGAATTTTGTTGGTTACAAGCAATTAATAAAATTTGATGATTATTATTGTGTTTTTATTTTCTTGACCGACTACTGCACTTGGTTTAGTCAATTTCTTTACGACAATCCAATTCTTGTATCAACATCACTGCAAAGAACAGGTCAGCTGGTGCTTTCTTTGATTTGAAAGGGAAAAAGAACCCATAAACAAACATAACCAAGGAACAGATATGATTGTTGAACCATAACTAAAAACAATACCATATGACAGGTATATCTCACAAGCACCCTCAATACAAACCACTCCATTTGACATCAGCTACCATACAGTTTTTTATTTACTTATAATCTTAATTATAACTTTGAACTCAAATTCAGTAAGCTACTTCAAATGGGACACCCTCAAATATCCTAATTCTTTATTTTAGTAATTCAATGACATGATAAAGTGTTAAAAATAGTTAAGTGTGGAAAAATTAAACATTGAAAAGTAAATGTTATTTAAATTCCAAGTCTATTTAATATCTTACTTAAAATTACATATTAGATATGATAAAATTGTTTGATGAATGTAAATTTTAAAGATAATATAAATAAAAGAAATAAAAAAATAAAGTGTTAACATATTCCCCATTAATATTGAAGAATCATTAATACATTCTTCAAAAGTATACTAAAAGTTGAATCTTCATTCAAGTTGAGTTCAAGCACAAGTCATACAAAATATTCAATTTTCATTTATTTATTTACTAAATGAGCTTATATGAAAAAATTGTAGTAGTTCCATCCAAATCGAACTCAAGTGGAACCAAGTGCTTTAATCAGATTCAAGCGTTATGCGTTCAAATTATTCACACCCAAATCAAGACCTCCAACGCCAGCCAGATAGGGAAATGATGGGAAGTAGAAGACTTAGTACTACTCATACTTGGCCAGTATTTAGCTCATACTAAGAATTGGCAAACAATGATGTAAAATGTCAAGTTTCGATTTTCATGATCACATAACCAGAATCAAGGGCATCAAACACAAACAATAATTGTAAAAGATGTTTTTAACATTTATTCAAAGCAAAATCATTCATAGTTGACAAAAAAAAATCACAAATAGAGTGTACTCGGGATGTCTTTCTGTTATTGTTATAGTTCATTGGGGAAAGAAAGAACCAAGCCTCTCATAAGAAGGGATTGCAGCCATATAGGCTTTGTCAAATCAGTTGATCACCTGCATAAACAAAGAAACCAGGGAGACATTATTCACAACATCAGATAATCTGTCATTTCCAAAGAGGATGATAGAACATAAAATGTAATAGACTAAGATTAAAGAAAAACTTAGAATTTTTAAATATATATGTGTGTGTGTGTTTCATGGCCCTATGTGTCAACTGTCAATGCTGTCATAATCCTTGAGATGCATCAAATTATAGATTTATTTCCTAAAGTCCCTTTTTCCATGGCCATGGATGAGGAATATAGTAATGTAATTCAATAAAATTATTATAAGTTCGGAACTGCCTATGCTATAAGTAATTAAGAATATTGAAAAGAGATCTCAAAGAATCTAATCCCTGAATAAAAAACTGAACCAATAAAATTCCTAATTTTCAAAGTGTACAATTTAGTCCCAGGATAAAAACTCTGATCTACTTTCTTACGATTGTAACCTGATACTTCTAAATTTCAACTGACTACTGAAAATCGGTGTCGACTAAGAACAAATTTCACTTCATTTTTGCTATGTTTTGTTTCTCTTAGATCATTCTGATACTCTTTTCGTTCCGGCATTCAAACAGACTAAAATGTCATGCCAGCATGCCTAATTCAGGGACAGACGCAAATCCCAAAGGTCAATTCAAGTGAACTCTTAAGTGTTTTTTTGTTTTTGGCAAGTCAGTTTGGTTCAGACAATGGAAAAACGGCTTCCACTGTATACATATTAAGAATGTTCAATCTTAAAGCACCACAAACCATCAAAGACTCCAATTTTTCAACGTTCCATGTATCAAAATCTAACATAACCCGCACATTTCTTCAAATTTGAAACATAACTTATGAGGAAAAGACACTAGAAAGGGAAATTGTTGTGATTAACATTAAAAAAAATAAGAAAATCTTATCTCTTATAGTTTAAACACGATTCTCAGATCTGTCTCAATTAAAAAACAAATATTGCAAATCTCTAAAATCTATGTGAAGGACCCAAACAATCCTTTAATTCTTGATTCAAAATCCAAAAAAAAAAACGAAAATAAGAAATCAGAAATTAGGGTTTCTTAACCTCTTGTGCTTCTGAGCAAATGGAGAGTTCTTCTCATCTTCCTCTGCAAAAAGGGGGATAACAATTAGAAAAAAAATCGATAGGTATATTTGAATATATGCTGACGCATGAAAATATGAAGATTACAAATTGAAAGTAAAAAAAAATGTTACCGGTGAGACCAAGGGAGAACTTGGTGATGATGGCTCCGGTAACTGCGAAACCAACAAGGAAGGGCCAAGTGCGGTTGAACTCTCTCTTGAAGAACACGGGCCATGGATCGAACCACCTCTTCATCTTCCTTTCGTTTTTTTTTTCTTCCGATTCTTTGCTGTTCACTTTGGTAGCTGTAAACAAGGGCTCGAGGTTAAGGAGGAGATCGATTTTTGTGGAGGAAATTGAATTTTGGTTTCATCGTGGCCGTCGGATCATCAGATGGTTTTGTTGAGATCTGGTCTATAGAAGGGGTTTTGGGTACATGCTTAGTAATAACATTGGATCGAATTTGTCTCGAAAACAATAAACTTAATACATTACGTTAAGGACTTAAATACAACAAAATTTACCCACACCTTAAACAGTAAATAAAATCATAAATATACGACTATTCTTTATGATATTTTAATCATCGTAATCAGTAGACTCATCAGAATTAATATTCATTTCTTCAATTCTCCATGCTTTTTCTTGTTGTCGTTCACGTACAAATTGAAGCCATTTCAAGACTCCATCATCTATCTTTGTTTCTTCATCATTATTCTTAGTTGATGGGATATTAGAGATGGAAGCAACATTTCAATCATACGAGTAAGGTGGACATCAGCGAACTCTACAAACAAATCGACATTAAACATAGAATGATAGTAATATATCTCAATTATACTAGTAAGGTCGACATCAAAAAACTCTACAAACAAATATGGAGAAGATGTTTACAACTTTGCAGTTGAAATATATTGAGAAAGATGGCCACATGCATATAATGACCAGGGTTGACATTATGGTCATATGACAACTAATCTTGCCGAATGTATAAATTTAGTGTTTAAATGGACTAGACATCTTCCGATTGTAAGTATTGTTAGGGAGACTTATTTCTGATTGGGTAAAGTTTGGGCGGACAGAAGTTCGCAAATAGAGGCAATGATCAACGATGGTAGAAATTAGGCTCCAGATTTGGAGAATACAATGAACAAAAATCAAACACATGCAACATCAATGTCTGTTCATAATTTCGCCAAACTTGATTCTGATTACGTTGTTCAAGAACTTGTTCGACCACATGAGGCTGGTAATTCTGCCACATACATCGATAATCTGAATAGAAGATGATGGGATTACAGACGATTTCAAGCTTTCAGATACCCATGTGTTCACGTTATTGTTGTATATATGCATGTTAATGTTGACCTATACTCGTATGTTGATGATTGTTATAGCTTATATACTGTGTAACATTTGCAACTGTGAGTTTAAGTATCTCTCAAATGATGTTTATTGGCCACCAACAAATTTTGAAGAATGGTTGGCAAATCCAGAATTACGAAGGAAGTTGAAGGGTCGACCTGAATCTAGTCAAACTCATATTTATATGGATGATAGTAAAGGGCTGGTATCGATACTTCTGGTATGTGGTATCGATACTTTCCTGAGTATCGATATCAAATTTGTTTTTGATGTTTTGAAAAATACTTAAGTATCGATACCCCTATTGGGGAGTATTGATAGAGTATCGATACTTCAATGAGTATCGATACCAAAAGTGGCTATTGGAATCTACTAAGTGAATTTGGTATCGATATCGCCCTGCATGTATCGATACCTTACCTACAATATCAGTACCCATTGTATGAATATCAATACTTCTAGGTCAAAATCCCTTTATTTTTAGTGTCTGGAGAATAATATCAGTATTGTTCTTCTAATACCGATACTCGTGCCCAGAAATACTCTTTTTTAGGAACGAAACTCTCCAACACTCCCATGATTTCTATGAAGTTCCCTAAACGTTATTAAAGTGTTAACTCTGATAATATGGGTCATAATAAGTTCATAAATATGCTGAAAAACACTAGATGTTGACTATGCCATGAACATGCTTCATAACTCATACAAGTTAACCAAACACGCCTATTATCTTACATGTGGTATAGTTGAGTTAGAAGAGAGTTAACTTGGATTTCTAAGCTGCTGAAAACACCCAAGGTTCAACCAAGAGTGAGTTTTCCCTTTCCTTGCACTTAGAGTTTTCTCCAACTTTTCTCACCAGACAAGAATCAACCACAAGTGTTACTAACATTGTTGGGAGTTTAGAAAAGAGTTTAGGAAGTTTCTTGAGGCTTGAGTCTCTAAAAAAATGAGCTGGTTTCGCTTAGGTTTCTAAAACCCCTGCTAAACCCATATTTTGGATGCTACGATGAAAATAATAGATTAAGAGCTTGAATAATAGCTTGAAATGAGGGGGTTTTGATTCTTACCTTAAAAATCCCTTGTTATACTTGGAAACCCACAAAGTTGTTACATTTATATAACCTACGCTTGAGAAAGAATATGAAGAGAAGATATTAAGCTTTTGGGAGAGAAAATGACAAATAAGGGGAAAAAGATATGCCTGCAACGTGAGATCATCCCACTATCACATAAATATGATTCATCATTTCAAAATAAAAATGGATAAATCTCTCTTTTGGTCCTTCCAATCTTAATCTTAATTTAAAACACCTCTTCTTTAACTCATGTTGGGCTTAATCAAGCCTAATCCATTCAAATTTTGGTCATGGTTTTCTTACAAGCTAATAACTTTGTTTTAAGTCATT